CACTCCCCCTCGTTTCCGACCCATCTCCCCGGTCTCCATGTTCCCCACTTACCTGTGGGCTTTGCTCACCTGTCCCCGTCGAACCTATGTTCCTGCTCCAATGCATAGATGCGCTACAGCCTCTTGATGAAATAGTCACCAGCATTTCAACATTTTGCAAAACAATGCATTTGCCCCAGCCTCGCTCACAGAAACAGCTGACCCATTTTGGCTGAAACTTTGCAAAACAAGTTAGCCTGGGGCCAGCATGGAAAATTTCAACCAAATTGGTTAAAGTTTGGCAAAAACAACAAGGAGTCTGGTGGCACCTTAAAGACTAACAGATTTATTTGGGCATAAGCTTTCGTGAGTAAAAACCTCACTTCTTCGGATGCATCCAGACTCCTTGTTGTTTTTGTAGATACAGACTAACACGGCTACCCCCTGAAGTTTGGCAAAGTTATAAGCAACAGAAAAATTATCTTAGGCAACCTTAATAATAGGTGGTGCTACCAGTCCTGCCTCGCTATATAACAAATGGGGGGGGGGAGGGTGCATGCATGCATGTGTGCACATTCACCTGCTATTTGCTACAAAGAAAGCCTAATTGCAGAGCCGTAACTAGGGATTTTTGCGCCTGAAGCAAGGGACAGGGGCGGCACGTCCGGCTCTTTGGCAGCGGGTCCCTCTTGGAGGTTAGGACTTGCCACCAAATTGCCGCCGAAGGAGAGACTTTCTGCGCCCCTCACCTTCCGCACCTGAGGCAAGTGCCTCACTTGCCTTGCCCTCGTTATGCCACTGCCTAATTGGCTTCACAAATAGAATACCAGGTCTCAGATCAAAGCCCTTTGGGGGCTGTGAGTAGCTATTAGTCTGTACCCATAATCTAGTAGCATAAGACTTGAAGACAAACTGATATTGTCCCTGAAATAAAAACCTGACCCAACAATTCATCCTGCTGTCATGGTATCTTGATATGAAGGAATGAATACATATTAAAGCTGCATAGAGCCAGTGCTGTTTGGATGTTGTCACTGCATATTCATCTCTAGGGAGCAGAAACCTCACTCTTCCTAATCGTGAAAAATCAACTCATATTATGCAGCAAGAGGATCTATCCAGGGCACCTGAGGCAGTTTGCAGGGTATCTT